GAGCCCCGCTGTTGTGTAGGGGGTGGGGGCGGCGGCGGCGGCAGCATGTCAGAGGAGAGGTTGCCGTTGTCTGTGTCGCCCACGGAGTCACCTCCGAGATATCCAGGAGGATTAGCTGGCTGGAAAAACGGAGTTCCACTTCCAGCCCCGTTGCCTCCCGATCCACTGACTCCGTTCCCCTCGATGCCCCCTGCCAGAGTGTTGAACCTCTGGTAGAGCAGTTTCTGGATGTTGGGTCCACTGGGACCCTCGGGTTCTGTGATGGAACTGCGCTTCTTCAGTGGACGTGGGGCGTTGGCCAGCTTTTTTCGGAGCCCCTCGAGGTCAGCATCACTTTGGTAGCGCAGTGGGGAGTGGACCATGGGCGTCAACTTTGTGGGGCTGAGTGGCCTCGGGATGTTCTCCACACTGGGAGGAGGCGCCAAGGGCTCCTGTTGCTCATGATCATCAAATTCTCCATCCAGAGTGTCATCACCACCAGGATGGCCTTGGAACAATGGGAAGGCTCCTCCTGCCTGTACAAAGGGCAGTGGGGAGGGTGGGGTCGAGCTGGAGTGGAGAACAGGTTTCCCGTATACTGGAGACGAAAGGGAAAAGATGACACAGTCAACTCTCATCAACATTCAGATGAGAGACCTAAAAAACCTTGTTGAACATTCAGATGAGAGACCTAAAAAACCCATCAATTTAGGGTGCAAATTTTCAGCAAAAATTAAGATCAAAAACACTTACACAAGTTACACCTGTGTCTAACAAGGCTTCACTCACCAGCTTTAGGAGCAGGCTTAAATTGCTGGATCTTTGGCGCCCCCTGCTGGAGGTACATGTGATAGATGGAGCTGGAGTTCATAGTAGGTGGACCTTTGCGTGGCGACTGCGGCCGTGACCCTCTGTCGGGGATGAAAGGCCGTACTGCCACAGCCGGGGGTGGATCCAGGCGCTCGCTAAGACTGGGAGGGAAGATCGGCGCATTAGGCTGTAAGGTGGGGCTCGGGGGCACCGAGATACGTTGCTGGATCTGCTGCGAGGACGAGCCTGTGGGAGGTGTGGAGCGGGGCCAAGCAGGAGGCGGTGGGTTCGGGAGCAGCCGAGGAGGTGGATCTTTTCTGCGCTCCACGGAGCAGGGTGAGTTTGCGGAGGTGAGGTGGGAGCCGTAAGGAGGGGGCTGAGGCTTGGGAATGACCGGGGAAGAGACGGCCAGTTTGGGTTCGAGCACCTGTAAGGACAGAGGCAATAAAAACAAGCAGCGAACATTTTTATGACGTTCCTATTAGACATCGAAGGAGGGATAAAACCAAAGACCACCAACCTTCTCTGTACTTGGAGTGACCGGGGAGCCTGAGGGGGGGCTTTTGCCCTGGGTGTCAGCCACAGAGTCTCTTCTCTCTGGAGGCTTAAGACCTGTGCTCGTCTTTCCAACAGTGGGCCAGCCAGTATCATTAGCTGCAGAACAAACGAGGCTCAGTAAGTGTAATGAAAAAATTCTAATTCTAATGAGTTAAGGAACAGTTAAGTAAAGGGAGAACAAGCATCTTATTCAACTCAAGGTAGTGATAAACCATGGCGACCAACACTAGGTCAAAAGGTATTTTTATACTAAAATGTTGTACATCTCAAACTTGTGTGATATTTTGAACACACACACACAGAGTTTGTATTTATATGCTGTTAATGGACCATTTTGACCTAGAATTAGGATCAAATGGAGGGTTCAGGATTTTTAGGGCCGTCCTATTAACCAGAGACAAGTAAGAAACCAAAGTCTTCAACATTAAAACTGCAGCAAAGTGTGTTTTACAGAAACAGTTTCAGGCACTGTTGTCCCTATGCACACTTTTGGTTTGTGACATATGCATCAAAAGTTTGATGTCTCACAAGAAGAAACCTCAGGAAGTGTTTTCTCAAATATAATTTACTGTTTGATTACTGACCAATAGGACACAAATCCTGAGCTCACACAATAACAATGAATGTTTCCATATTAGTCATTTTCCACAATTTTCAACTTCTGCATTTGTTTAAAAGGCTTTTAGCATCTTAAGTTATTTTTGTTAAAACACATTTGTAAAACGGTTCACTGTCCACCAATCTTCCCGATTAAAAAACAAAACATCTTTTAACAGTAGTGATGGTGTGAATGAGAAGAAACTGGAAAAGGAAAAACACAGTGAATCAGAAGCCAAAGGTTGAGAGGAATTAAAAAGGAAATTTGAGAAATCTAAAAAGATGGAATCAATATCAGAGGAATTAAAAAGGAGAAATCTAAAAAGATGGAATCAATATCATCAATAGATCTTCTACCAAGTTTAGACAGAAGACACAATGACCTATTATTGTCAGGGATCAAGGGAGAAACAACATTATATCAATGCAAGCCTCAAAGGCAATAAAGTCGATCTGAATCTTTCACAGATTATAAATGATAAAGTATTATACTTTTAAAGTATATACTTTTTGCTCAGGTAAATCCTTTTCACATGTCGGACTTTGTGAGAATGTGGCATGGCAGTGAGGGTTAGACAACATGAGAATGTCGTGATGTTAGAACAGACGCCTGCTTTTATAGAAGAAAACGTACGAGACACTTTAGTCTTTGAACCTTCTCAGAGGTGGAGGAGCACACGCAGGATCAACAGGAACATCTCTGATGTCATGACATCTGAGTGGATTGTTTTATTGGTATAGATTTGAATCGGCCCAAGACGACTTCAAACGTGAAAAAAAGCAATCATGATTTGGCGTGACAGGAAGTTAACACATTAATAAAATACCGCAGACTCACGGCAGGTTAATCTAATTATATGCTCACTCATGTTTATATAAATGATAGCAATATGGACTCATAGCTGGGATGCATGCTGTGGATCCTGAGCAGCAGTAGCGAGAGAAGGTTCAGAAAGTGCCACCCTTCTGCCTGTGGGGCACAGTGCACTCACGGGACGAGCTGTCGGAGCCAGTGGAGGCTCCCTGGTGTGATTCAGCGAGAGGAGGAGTTACCGGGTCCACAGTGATGTCTAAATCAGACACCTTCCAAGGGCCGGGAGGCTTTCGCACACCGTCTGCCCCAGAAAGAGTAGCCCCCGACCCCGCACCCAGAGTGAAACATGGACATCACAGAGACAGGACAGGCATATACATGACAGCAGAGGACAGAGAAGGAAGGGAATCACGGTTCACACAACACAGGAAAAAGTGAGGTTAGACAGGAAGGAAGAGAAATCCCTAGTTAAAAGAACTGACTAAGAAGCCAGATGGAAAGGAGACAGATAAGAGCTGAAGGCCACGAGTGAAACTCAGCCGAGTGTTCATGCATGTTGTGTTAAATGTGAAGAGTGAATAAAAATCCTATTTTCACAAAAATGGTTGGCTTTCTGAAATAGCAGTAGAAGTAAAATCTCTCCAGACTGGTACAACAGTAGGTGCAGAAGTCAGTATCTGTGATTAATAGTAGCCATGACGGCTCCACATATAAGTTACAGCACCACTGAAGCTGATTATTGCTGTGTAATTTTAGAGAAAAATGCTTCTTGAGAGAGGCATCGACTCCCAGTTACTACATTGATTTTTCAGCAGAATACTGCAGAGAACAAAAGCGAGACTTTATAAACGCTGTAAAGGTAAACTGTTGGGAACATTAAACTGGTATAATTGACTTCCAGGGAGTTGGAAACTAAAAAAGAAAAAGAGCTTTGACCCAGTTGTAAACCTGCTTCTGTCCCACAGGTCCATGAGTTGCAGGTACCCATTTCGAAACGAGTTTATGTTTAACAAATTGAATTTGTTGAAAAGACAGAGTCTTTAATTTGACCTTTGCCTGACATTTTAACTACATGACCAAATTATAGGCTTAGGTTTAAATTGCTTGTTTAGAACTTGACGTTTGTACACAAACTCTATAATGGACTACAGCAGTGGTTTCCAAACCTTTCTGCAGCTTCTTTCCATTCTTCACATTCACAGATACTGCTCTGAGTTTCTAACAACTGATAGTCTCACCAAAAAAAGGGAATAATGTTTTTCCCCCACTGTGGCACAAATACATTAAAAAATGAATTACTTTAACCTGCACTACCCCCACATGATGAATGAATTACTTTAACCTGCACTACCCCCTGCAATAATTCTGCAACAATTCCTCCTCAACTGCTAAATGTGTTTTCATTATAAATGAATATTTTTATTTCTCATTTTCTTCCATAAATATGCATGAAAATGTAATCTTTAAATGAAGCCAGTGCCGATGCATAAGAAAAAAAATCCCAACCAACCTGTCTTGGTGCGGCCTTGGTTGGTTTGATTATTGACACCCAGAGTCTGAGGCTTCAGTGGATCAGGCGGCATGCTGTAGCCTCCATCCTGTCTGCCTGATACAGGGACCTGGATGTACGGCCCCACTGCAGCAACACGGCCCAGAGTTCCTGAAGCCGGCTGTGGACTGGGAGGCCCGTTGGCTCTGGTCAGCTGTAAGACAAAAGATTTAAATGAAATACATTTAAAAAATAAAAAGAGAAACCAACAAGCAACGTGTAACTATTTCACCAAGCCAGTAAAGTTATCGTTCTACTGAATGACTAGGAAGAGGACAGACTTCATTCAGAGTTTGAGTTAAACAGTCTGAGGAGGAGATGAGTTCAGTGCTCCTAGTCTTACAGGGAGGTTCTCTTTTTGACGTGCCTCAGCTTTTTTCTTGTAGAGGCGTTCCCGCAGCTCACTGATGCGCTTGTCCATCAGCGTCACTTCCATGTTACGCTTGTTGAGAATCTCCTTCTGCTGCTGCAGCTTACTGTTTTGCTCCTGGTTTAATTTGTTCCGAATCTGTAGATCATAAATGATTCCACACAAAAAATCTATAAATATGTATTTCCTGGTAAACTCAGAAATGCAGAAGCTCTAAATGTACACGGTGGTACCTGAAGCTCCTGGTAGAGCTTTCGGAGCTCCAATGCTGCAGCACCAGTGACTTGGCCACCAAGGTTGGTCTGAAGGCCGTTGAGCTTTCCTCTGCGTAGGTCCTCCAGCTGCACACTGAGCTGCTCCACCCTCAGCACAGCTGCCTGCAGCTCTGCCTGCTTCTCCTGAAACAGGCTGCTGACTTGTTCGATCTCCACTGCTGCGGTAACAACAGGAGCAAAAACAAAAACCGTGAGAATCAATGAGTACTGTGAGGCAGGATCAGTTGTGTACTCGACACAGTATACACAAGTATACATACACAGGTTGCCATTGATGACCTTGCTGTAGTCCACCTGGCCTCTCATCGCTCGAATCTTCTTAAGCTTCGCCTCCTGCGTCTCCACACGTTCCTTTAACTTCTGCAGCTTCTCACTCTCTGAAACCGTTTGCTGCTGTCGACGCTCCTGCTGCTTCAGGTAACGCAAGCGTTGCTCCTTTAGGACAGAAGCAGGTTAAGTAGGTAAATACAACTTACCCAAAAACCTGACTGATTATGAGAGTTCCTTAATTAGCAAATCACAGAACTTATTGATTATGGGAGTTCCTTAATTAGCAAATCACAGAACCACTATTTTTGATCTGTTTATTTAGTTTTGTTGGAGAAGAATATGTGAATAATAAACACACATCAACATATCAAAACCTTAAAGATGTTATACTGATCCCTAAAACTAGGCTGCATCTTTCTACTGTCTGCACCTCGTTAAATGTTACACTGTTTTAAGACAGTCTGAGGGCTGAAGAAAGGGTCAATGACTTCATCTCACTGCACAACTGAGAACTGCTCCAGTTAGGCTCCTAAAATAAGACCTGACAGGCCCCGGACTCCAGATGACTGCAGGGCTTCAAGTGGGCCTACATTTCAGACACAATAACACAGGCAATAAATAGTTGTACTACCAGTGGACGTGGATCTACTCCTACATCAGCCAATCAGCTAACCACAAACACAACGGACCGGCAGAGGATAAAGAAAAGGAGTCGGAGAGGAACCACTGTGTGCTAATAAACAAATTAGCTTTCCAAGCAGCCGCATGTAGCATGCAAAAAAAAAACTGCAGCATTTTTTTAGTATACCACAGTTTCCCTTAAAAACTGAAGAAGTATTTCTCTTCTTCTGGATACTCCTCATTGTAAGAGAGCGCTACATAGACAAGATGTTACCTTCGCGACCAGCATCTGCTGCTGAGCCTCTATTTGCTGCTGCTGCCTCGTGGCCATCTCCTGCAGCTCTGACAGTGTGAGCTCCACACGCTGACTCCCCAACTAAACACACAGAAAAACATTCACATCAAAGAGATGACGTCTCTGAAACATGAGCACATTTATTTTTTTAAAAAATCGCTGGAAAAGTCACTGGAAATATGCTGACATGAAAAATTGAAATATTGACAAGGCTTCTGTGTGTAGAGTGGATGTAGAATTGAAAAGGAGATTAATGGAGACATGGATGGTGCTGCTTCTTCTGGTAAAATTGTTTGTCTATAGATTTCAATGATTTTAGTGATTTTTTGGAGTCAATTTTTCTGCAAATCTTAAGTAAATTTGAGGGGGAAAAAAGGCATCACATCTCCTCAGCTATTGATGCATGGAGTTACATTCCTCTGGGCTAAAAATAATAGTTGCTGTGTCATCCTGTTAATGAGATCAATAATAATAAATAATTAGTTCTCATGACACCAATATCCATCAGCCATGCGCTTTTTATCTCAATTCCACCAACATTTTACAATAAAAATGATAAAAAGTCTTTCCTGAATGCTGATGTACTCCACTGAGGCCCGGCTCATTTTAAGCAAACACAGTTTTACTTGTAAATTTTCTCTGCGCTCATACACGGTAATAACTTCTGTGAAGTCGTTTTTTTTTCCCAAGCTGCAGCTTTACTGCAGAATTCTTATTAAAGTAAAACAACCCAACAAAAACACGGCGTCTTCATCCACGACTGCTCTGGATTTCAGTTTCCAGCCTTGAGGTTTAATTAGTTATGAATCCTCGACCACAACACTTTACGATTGTGAAATCTGGGACAGATGGTTGGAGACAGAAAGGCTTTCAAGCCAGAGGCGACTCTCAACAGACCATCTCTCCTCTCTCAGCACACACAGCCTTGAGCTACAGATGAACACTCACTACAATGGATGCACCTGGATAAAAAAGGAGTCTTGTGTCTGGAAACTGGAAAAGTCTGTTATCACCACAGACCACAGTCATTGGTTCTGTCAAAGTCACACGGTGTATCTCTGACAACCTTCAGTGAGGCAACAGGCGGGGCTCTGTAATGGTTGGAGGCTGCGCTTAAGATTCTGAATATTTATTGTAAGAATACTGGAAACATTAATGTTAAATATTTGTGTTAATAAAATAATTAACTGGTTAAACTCACAAAGGCTGCATGAGAACATTTCAAAGATAAATCTGATATTTTTCTCACCCCGTTCTCATTGTGCTTCTCTCCTGTGTTTCCACTCCTACGATTCGTCTGATCCTGAGACTGCTGACTCCCTGCACACACACACACAAAATAGTGCAGTTAGACACAAGTGTGGATTCAGAGACAAGAGCTGTCGTCAGGGTAGTTTGGAAAGTCACTGACATCACTGTAGGTGACAGATGGAAGAGAAAGCACACCTGGCTAAAGAGACTTATTTAATAAGTCTAGCAGCAAGGTGGGAGTGAATTATCTCAACGCTGGGAAATTCAAAATAATTAAAATGAACAATTTGTCCGGTCTGGATCATTGCAGAATTTTTGTTGAATTTAGGAGAAATTGTTTGTGCATACCCAACATGCTGACTTCACATTATTTCAGTGGACAATTATCTGAGAGTGTGTGAACTCCCGCAGACCAGGTGTCAGTGATGGATTTCAACCCTTGTTGGATTCCACACCTGGCTTACCTTTGGCTACACTCCACTCCGACACACGCTTACATAAAACGATAGTGTGTGTGTGTGAGAGAACGCATGCCTTATCAGGCATCAGTGAAAACACAGATCCTTCCAGATTTGAATATGTGAAAACACAGATCCTTCCAGATTTGAACTCTACCTACAAAAAGACCACATCAAAAAACACCTGTCTGGAAAATCTGTACTCTAACAAGTTTGTTCAAAGAAAAATCAAAAGCAGCGTTAAGATTGATTTGAATCCAACCTGAAGGCGGTTTGGAAGGTTCCAGGTGTACAAGCCCTAATGGTGTGAACCAAACACTAAATACTACAGATAAAGAGATTTGAAGTATCTGCTCCTAGATGAATCACAATTTTAATTATTTTTAGATAACTGATTAATTGAACAACTGCTGGTTTGTTATAATCTTTGCATTTATTTTTAGCTTTAACAATGTAAAAACTCATGATCACCTTCCTTTGGCCAATTTTTTTGTCTTATTTGACGGTGAAGTTTAAAAGCCCAATGACGTGTTTGGTAGAACTCTCAGTTGTAATTGCAGACGCTGGGCTGTGTACACACCTTGATCGCTGCTCTCAGTCGGCGAATCTTCATGTCGGAGGAAGAACTTGACCTCTTGTTTCCGAGGTCCCCACTTCTGCAGGTGTTCATACATCATGTGCTCGAAGGGTATGGCTCGCTCTGCGTGGATTGGTGGGAGTGGTGGGAGATTAATTAGAGCCATTTGTCAGTGAGCAGAGTAAGCAAAGTCTTTGTCTGGTCTTTGCCAGTCGACACAAGCTTTTACAGCTAATCAGCCCACAGGAAGTGTGTGTTCAGTCTACTTTATCTGGGCAGTAGCGTTAATTACAAATGAGAAAAATACATTCACAACATCTACTCCTCCAATTGTTTTCTTGTCACTTTTATAAAGGGGTTATGTTTTTTTTATGCAAACAGCCGGCTAAGGGTAGAGACCGAGGAGCCAAAGAGGGACAAAATTTTTTTTACTATGCAAACAGCCGGCTAAGGGCAGAGACCGAGGAGCCAAAGAGGGACAAAGAGATGGAGACAAAGACAAAGTTTCTGGGGCTGATGACTGCATTGTCCATCAGCAGCCAAACAGCATTACATAACGTGGCTTAGTAAAGCCCTGGGCTGGAATGGTGTTTTCAGGAGAGGAGTGGCCCCTCAGCAGAAAAATGCTGATAACACCAGACTCGTCAGCAGGATGATGGCGACGGAACCAAAGGGTCTGAACTGAGTGGAATCTGTTGTGACAGTGCTGTGGACTGTACTGGGATGTAGCCCCTTTTCTGGCCCACAATTTTTCTACTTTAAGTGTTTCACTCATTTAGTATGGTGTCGACTGAGTGACGCGATCAAACCCACGTTCATTCATACATGGACGCCTGAAACTCTGGTCGTATTTATAGTTTTTCTCTTCCACTCAGTCCCTACTCAGCTACTGAATTTTTTTTGATTGAGAGCTTGTTTTCCATTACACAGCTGAAGTTACAGGCTGCTGCTTTGTAAAATTAAAGTCCTGTTCATCCCAGTGTCAGGTCAAGCTCAGTGAAAATGGAGTTTTAGATTACCTCACCTTATTACGCTGTAACAATCTCTTTGACATGGCTCTGATTCTTTAAAAAAAAATTTGAAGGACACAAATCCTCCTTTTCCCTGCAGTTTATAAAGAGACGGCACAGTTCCATTTAGTTCTTACCGTTTCCTCTCCAGACCTCAGCCAGGTGGCAGCCACTCTCTCCGGGCTCCTTGCAGAACTCAACCACATCTCGGCAGGTGGTCTCAGGAGTGATGGGCACCTCGGTCACAGCTTGTTCTCCATCACTGAGGTACACTGTCAATATCATCTGGAAGAAAACACACAACACACAGGGATTGTAAAAAATAAATATAAAAAAAAAAAATCAGGTTAAATTTGAATGCAATGTAACACACTGACCAACTTCAGATCAGACAAACTTTTTTTTTATTTTAACCCTAGAATATTAGATAAACCTAATCTGAAAAACTCACATTATTTTCATCATTAATTAAAAGTGCGTAGCTGTAACTCAACCGAACGATAAATACAACAATCTAATCATTTGAATATAAGTAAGAATACCATTAATCCTTTAGATATGTTCAATAATTAGGATTGTGAAAGTATCAGGTATCACCAACAAAAGACTTTATGTAGACTTACAGTCAAGAATACAAGTGAGGAGTGATAGTCAAAGGTTCATGCAGATCAGAATAAAGGATCAGACCAGCAGAGGTAACAGCGTGCTGCTCACGTGCATCCAGGGTGAGACTGATCTGCTGGTCGCCTCCTGCCTATACCTGCCACTTTACTCCTCACTGT